GGACATGGATTCTTCCCCAGGAGTCTCCACAGATTTAAAAATTAAAAGCAATCCTGATTGCGTCTGTGGAAAAAGGGATCTGGGAGCACGCCATTGTCCAAGCACGTCTTGGATTGTCCAAGAGTGGTGGGTGTGAAAGAGGAGAAAAGAAGAGCGGGGAACGCTATCGAAACTGAGCTGCTAAGATTTCACAGCTTATTGAGAAAAACCAGAACGTGGCAGCTGAACTTTATCTCAGCTGTGGGTGAACAGGGTCGACCGGTGGCCGCGGTCCCTGCTGAACACAGTAGATAGTTTCTCTATTGTGCTGTGACTGAAGGCCACCGGTATATAAATGCTTTAATCTGGGAGTTGGTTTTTCCAGTACCAAATCCGAACGCCAGTTTGGACCCGTTGCTTGGCTATTGAGCAGGATAGCAGCTAAGGGAATGCTTAGCATGCGAGCTTATGGACCTAAAGATTTGGGAGGCCATCTGCTTCTAGAATGTATTGTTCAATTCTGCCCATATATGAGACAGTAAGACGGAATCTTAGGTATGTTATTTTAGCACACTATGGACATGGGTTTTATGGGCAGTAGAATATCACATATATATTTGCATCGAGCACTGCTCTTCAGAAAACAATTCACCACTGATGAACCAAGCCCTCTCATTATTTTTTATCGCAGTAAGGACAGTAGAGATGTTTGAATTATTTGTGAGAGAAATGCTTAATGGTTTTATATCTCATGTATAGATGCTCCTTTTATGTCTTTTAACTAAATATGTATCTAAGAAATAAAAGTATTTAAAAGCACTAATGTTTCTTTTTCGCATAAATCAAACCTCTATACTGTCCTTACTGCGATGAAAAATATTGAGAGGGCTTGGCTCCTCAATGGTGAAACCCTACCAGACCACTTCTTAGAGCTCTAATACTGTATTGGACTATTCTGCTTATATATTCTACACTGAATGGTGAAATCTCAGAAATGGTTTCCGGGTAAACTATGGACATAAGCTTTTAGGACAGTAGAATTACCTATAAATATTTGCATCGAGCAATGCGCTTCCGCAAACAGGTGCGTTATTGCTTTATATTAATTTATGCCTAACTTGTCCTTATTTTTTTAAGAAGAGCCTCGCTCGATGCGAATATTTATATGCAATTCTACTCTCCTAAAATCTTATGTCCATAGTTTACCAATATAATACATATTCATTCCTGCCTGGGCTGCTTGCTGATTTTGTTAAATTAAGTTTACTTATAAGTACCATTTCTAAGATTCAACTCTTCAGTGCAGTGTATAAAATCAGAATAGTCCAATACAGTATTAGAGCTCTAAGAAACGGTCTGGTAGATTAAATTGGCGAAACTGCTGGAAGAGATCCACCACTGATGAGCCAAGCAATACCAATATTTTGTCATTGCAGTAAGGACAGTAGAAGTTTGTTTTGTGTATAAAGAAAGATTCAAGTTTTTAAATACTTTCATCTCTTATATAAATAGATGTGGTCTTATTGCTTTATTTAAATAATTATCTGTTGAATCTCAGTGGACCTGACTGAGGTGCCATTTTTCAAAAGAGGTTGATTGCTGCGACAGCAATTTATTCCAATTTGACTACCTAAAATCCACAGTACATTATATCTAGCTCTTTTAAATCCAAAATTGGCGCTTTCTTAGATGGGTTTGCTGTTAATGTTTTTCTCAATTATCCCAAGTACGCATGGGATTAGTCAAGATAGCATATAATTATCTTTTATCTATATATGCTTCGCACATATTAAGACTTTATACTTAAAATTATATAAAAAGGCTGTTTAAACCGATAATTATTTGATTGTGGTTCATTTTTATCTCGTAAATATACCAAAAATGCCCACTTCTGAGACATTTTATTGTGCCTATTTCCCAAGTACACGTGGTACATAGCATTATCAACAGAAGTTGCGCAACTTGTGCACAAGTGAAATATGCTGTTTGAAAATTTCTAGTTAAAATTTGTCAGAACCCTCTCTATTTACACGGATATCATGAAAACTCGGAGACCATTGACACCGAAAAGTGGTCAATTCTACCTTTTAAACATATATTTATTTTATATTTGGTTAGCAACTTTTAAAACAGCTTACAAATATCGAAGTTATATAACATAAATAATTTCTGACATATTTCACCTATATTAAATTCACTATTAGCAAACTATATAAATGAGTATAAAATTATTCTAAACCTTCCCATAGCCTCGTCTTTAATATTGTTATGACGCTTTTCGGCGGTCGTTGTTTGCGTACAAGGTTTAATGTAGGTTCATTGTGGATACAGATTAGTTCGTTATACTTTATTCCCAGGAGCTGTTAATGGGATTAAGAACTAGGTTCATTTAGATGGACTTGTCTCAAATGTCCGCTATCAGAAGGATCTTCCTTGTCAACGTTCCGCTCCATGCTGTCCACGTCCAGCCTGTGCTACACCACCTTGTAGGCCGCTCTGATGCCGTGGTCCTGGTACCGTCTTGCAGGATCATCCACACTCCTGGAGGCAACTCTCCGCGTCTTCCACTCTCCGCAGATGTGACCAGACTCTGACCTCTCCCTACACGAATGCCATTTTTTGGCACCTGTTCCCCTGACACATGGCCATCCCCCGCAGCTGGAGTACACCCATCTTCCCCCAACTTTACTTTAGAATCTTGGCTTCTCAGATAGTTTGTCTTCCATTTTTACAACATATACGAAAATATATAACATATCACGAAGATGTCGCCGTATAGAAAATAATTTTAAGAAACAGAGTCTAATTGCTAGATGCTATCCAGCTACCAGAATTTCAAGAACTATATGTAGGAATATCACCACACAGTCATCAAATACAATCAATCTTATAATCTTAATAATTTTCTTTGAGAATCTTGTCAGAGATATCATCTCTATCATAGATGAACCATTAAATTAACTTTGTTAAAAAATGTTTCATTTTCTGGAATTATGAATCAATCATATCCCAACATCATATGAAATTGTGAACATGATTTTCCTATTTTCATAGCTTATAACATATTTAAAATATATATCAAATTTATCTTGGTTTGCAAAATAATTCAGTTTCCTGGGACACGAGTCTTCAACAATTGGTCAGTTTTAGGGCCCTAGCTTTGCTGGCGCCATCAGGTCAGATCCGATGGTGGGGTTAGTAAAAGCTAGAAGTGGAATAGGACTTCTCAGGACCATTTAGGGCTCCTGGGGGGTGAACCGCCAAAAAGGGTAACGCGCCGAGGCAGGTACTTCCAGAGTGGTGAGGAAACTCTGCCGGATAAAAGTTTATTTTTTCAGGAGATACCTTTTATCCAAAATAATATATATATTAATAATGCATTGATATATATATAATATAAATATAATTTATTTATTCCCCAGTTGCAAATAAGACACGCTATATCCGATCTGGGTAATTGCGCGTGGAACTATTTACAATAATTCATATTGTAGTAGAGTAGGTAACAGAATTGTCAAAAATAAAATAATTAAGAAAAAGAGCATTGAATAAACATATACACTAAAAAAATAAGCAATAACATAAGCAGATAGAAGAAATCTCAAGGTAGTTATTTACAATATGTTAAGCAATGATGGAAGTTGATTTAATGAAGTTATCAGTAATAATTAGTATCGTGGAGAAAGAATGTTGATCAAGTTGAGCTATATACAATTAGTTATATTCTAAATTAACTTATCAATTATTCACAATTATGTAAATTAAGTCGCATAGTAGTGTAGTTCCTCAAGCTGCATGAAGCTGTCTATTTATAATAAAAAGTCTGCAGAACCTATTAAATTTTGTATATATCTTTCCCTATTATAAACTATTTGACCCAGATAGGTTCTTTCCATCTTGCTCTGCTGTCTTAGGTTTGACACCAGTGGGTATGAGTTCAGAATGTTTTCAGGCGTTTCTTCTTCCGCTCCACAAGAGCATCTGGGCGAATCTATTTTTCTAATTCTGAAGAGATATGATTTGAAGTTACCATGACCCGTAAAGAATTGAACATGGTAGAAATTTGGTTTGACAAATTTTGGTATTTTAGAGGAGATGAAAAAAGCGTTTGAAATTATTGTTGGATTCTTCATAGTATTCCTGTAATTTTCTTACATTATAGTTTGCAATTTATTTTATGTTTGATAAATTAAAGCTATTGTAGCCTATTTCATTTTTCAATATGTTGGATACTATGTAATCTGTGAGTTTTGGCATTTGTGTAAGTATATATGTACAGTTTGAAGATGTTGTGGTATAGGCCTGTATGCAGTATTTTAGAATATTATATTGCAGGGAATTTAGTTTGTTTTTGGCTACTTGCTTATAAATGGAAATCATATTGTTTGACCACATGTTATTGTGCTTCGGAATATTGACTTGTATAAAGTTAAATTTCGTCTGCATTCTAGACTCTATGCTTTCTTTATTAAACTGAGTAGGTAACCGCTAGCTCTAGTAGTTTTGTCGACGATTTCATTAATGTGTGGCATAAAGTCCAGCTTGTTCCTGCTTCTATGAATTTTCAAGGTCCAACCCAAGATCTTAAGGGTTTCAACATGTCCAGCTATATTGCTATTAAGGATTTTTGTATCATTTATGCAATTATATAAATATAATATTTTCGTTTTATCCTTTGGTATCTGTAATTTACTGCTTTCACACCAGGTATTAATTTTACTAAGTACATTGTTAATTGCTGTCTTTAGTTCGCCATGGCTTTTGTTCCGGCATATTATAGTCAATACTACTTATAAATGACTGCGGCGTATAATTATAAAGCTATACAACCAGTTTAACCGCATAAGTTTCTTTTTATTTATGAAAAAACATTTTTAATTTCAAAGATAAATAATTTAATTTATAACTTTTGGATGACGTATGAAAAGGTTGAATATATGAAGAGTGGTGGTCTATATATGAATGGATGACGTATGGAGGGTGAAAAATATGAAGAGTAATGGCAAACGGAAAAATAAAAGTGTCCAGGAGCGGGAATCGAACCCACAACCTTCTGCTTACCGGGCAGGTGACATGTCCACTAAGTTACGAACGGAAAAATATCGTCCAGGATAGCCTAGTCGACATGGCACCTGCCCGGTAAGCAGAAGGTTGTGGGTTCGAATCCCGCTCCTGGACACTTTTATTTTTCCGTTCGCCATTACTCTTCATATTTTTCACCCTCCATACGTCATCCATTCATATATAGACCATCACTCTTCATATATTCAACCTTTTCATACGTCATCCAAAAGTTATAAATTAAATTATTTATCTTTGAAATTAAAAATGTTTTTTCATAAATAAAAAGAAACTTATGCGGTTAAACTGGTTGTATAGCTTTATAGTCAATACTGTTATCATCCAGATTAATGTTTAACAATTCTTCAATCAGTATGTTCCATAATGTGGGAGATAGTGGTTCTCCTTGTGGATAGTGGTTCACTGTTCTGTTGTTAAAGAATGATTGTGTTATTATAATATGTTGTTTATGTTTTCCCGTTTTTTATTACAGGCTGACACTAATTTATGAGTTGCTTCTTTATAAATAGACTTTAATTGTCAATTTAGTTTTATCATTTTTCGCAACGTTCTCCAGTGTTGATTTTGAAGTAGATATAAATTATTAAATAAAATTTCTATTGATATATAAATATAAAGAAACAGATTAATCTTTAAATATTCGAATATAATAAATTTCATTATTTCGTATTCGTTTCATATTCATCATTTTACTCCAACATGTTTATGTTCTGACTTTTGTTTAACTGTTAAAAATTAGAAATAAATTCAATTGAAAAATATCGAATTTTAAAATAAATATTTAACTTGATATTTTAAAACCTGATGTCTGTAGCAGAAGATTGCTCCATCTGCCTGGAAATCATCAGCCAGGATAACCTCTGCCATCCCAGAAACTGCATGCACCAATTCCACCTGGACTGTCTCAAGACATGGTCTGAGCAGACAAACTCCTGTTCAATATGCCGGAAATTTTACTGAGATTGTTTACAATGTCAGAGGTCCTGAGGACTATGATATCATGGCGGTTGAGGACAAAGTCAATGCTACAGAGATGCTAGATGATAATCCTCAAGAAGTCCCTCCTGAAGTAACACAATTCCTCCTTGATGTATTCGACCAAGATCATGATACTGATGATGATTCTGATCTCCCCAATGATGGAATGTTGGGGCTTTTCGAAGTCGTCAGTGTTCTTCAAAATACTACTATTATTTTCTGAAAATAGATAAATATATATTTAAATCTTTAGATAATAAAAAGGTATGTATTGGATTGAATAAAATGAATAAAAAATTGAATAAAATCAGGATATTACATTTTTGTTCAAACAAACTCAGCACCGCTTAGTATTATAATATCACAATTAAAATATAAAACTTTAATTATATTCAAGAATTCCTAACTATGTTCAACCCAACTTCTATAACGTTCAATTTTTTACTGGACATGGTGACTTCAACACATATTTGTTTCGAATTGGCAAAATTGGTTCACCTGCATGCACTTGTGGAAACGAACAACAAACCCCTGAACATCTTCTGATAGACTGTCCACTAACTTCTGATCTGAGGGAAGAAAACCAACTTTACCTGACTAATACAAAACAAGCTGCTTGCAATAAAGACCAATACATCAAGTTTAATAGATTCTGCAGGATGTATATTTTGAGGCGAAAGCGTTGACTGTACATATTTCAAGCTACTACTTATAATTGCTATATGTAAAATTTGACATTGAACGTTTAATTTTAATGATTTCCAATGTTCAATTGTATTAATTGTATATAATTTAAAATATACACGCAATTATCCAAATTGTGGATATGGCGTGTCTCTCCCAACTGTTAAATAAAATAAAATAATAATATTAATTTAAAAATATATATTTTAACTGTGATTTTATAACACTATATGCGGCGCTGAGTTTGTTTATACAAAAATGTAATTACTTGACAAAGGTTGGCGTTCAGCCAACCGATATATTGGAAAATAAATCTTTTATTCAATCCAATATATACCTTTTTATTATTTATTTACTATGTATAAACGTTTTATAGAATATATTGAAAACTCATGATGCCTCCTTACTTTCAAATAGTGTGAATATTTCTTGTTTATAATAATATGCAACATGATTATTGTATTCTTATATTTTCACAATTCAATATGCCAGCCGATTACCTGCCCAACAGAAATATAACCATGATCACGCCTGAAGAATAGTCTAGGTTATAAGGTTAATTTATCCTTTCATTCTATTTCTTTTATTTCAAAAGTTCTTAGGTTCAAATAAATTCATTATATAATAATATTATAAAAAGGCGAAGATTTAAATTACTTATTTTGCCTTTATAATTTTGTGTACTTTGAAGAATTTTATTAGTCTAAATAAAACTATTTAGCCAAAAAGGAAAGGCTAATTTCTACTTTAATATTTTTCCCTAGCCGGTGCAGCTTTAGATCTCTACATGTGCCATAGACGAATAAATGTGTTGTTATCAGCAATCACAGACGTCCATCTTTTTGGACATGTAGAGATTTGGAAACAGCTATATTAAAAGTAACAGCAACGAGGAAAAACCTCCACAATAATCCATTTTAACAAATTTTCTTATTATATATATTTATATCCTATATATATATTTAAAAGTTTTTAGATTGTGCATTTATTTTATACTAGCCGAGTGACCCGGGCAACGCCCAGGGTTTACCCAAAGGGCCTGCAGAGACTTTAAAAGTATAGATTGACCATGTTTTGATGTCCTGAACTATAACCTATCATATAACAAACTGTAATTCGACACTATCAATAATTCGACACTTCCGATAATTCGACCGTTTTAAAAATCAAATTTACACAGTCGATTGTTGTTTAAATACAACCTTACCGGTAAAAAGGTATTACAGAGGCGATGACAGCCACTGAAAATGTACAAAATTTATGTATAGAGAAATGGGAGAATTTAGTGAATAAAGAAAAGTCCAAAATCTAAAAAATTGATAATAGTGTATTAACAAACAACTAATACAAAAAAATTCCTTTGAGGTAAGAAACTATAGACATTAGTAAAAAGTTTATGAAAATAAATCAGAAAAAAGAGGTTGTCAACTATATTGCAGAGGAGACTACTTATAAAAGGAATTAATCTAAAGGACTCATTAAAAATTAATTTCTATTTTTATTCATACATGGGTTCAACTTTATATGTATTTTGTCCAAAGTTCAAACACGTGAAAAAGCCGCATAGAGCTGTTCATGCGTATGTAGCAAGAACCCAAATATTATTTATAGTCATAGCAAAAGCCAACTTTAGTGAAAACTGATGTCTCTTAAGAATGAAGGGAAGGCTGATATCTGAAGGAGCAAAATATATTTTTGGCACCAATACAGTGTGTCCAACATTGGTCCCGGTCAGTATTTGTGCTTCAACTTTACTTGTATGCCATCCAAAGTTCACACACGTGAAAAAGCCACATAGAGCTGTCCATGCATAAATGCAGGCTCTTGTAGCAAGAAACTCACTCTAGCAAAGGTTTGGCCTTAAGCCTTATTTATAGTCATAGGAAAAGCCAACCCTATTGGAAACTCTTGCCTCTTCAGAATGAAGGGAATGTTGATATCTGAAGGAGCCAAAGATGTTTTGACACCAATACAGTGTGTCCAACATTGGCCCCTGTCAGTATTTGTACCTCAAGGACATGAGAGCACATGCACTGTATCACCATACATGTACCATTGTAAAGACCCTGCTTAAGATTAAAATTTCTCAGAAGCATAACAATAGCACCAACCTAGAGTATAACTGGTGTGGAGGCATTCTTCTGGGAGTAAGGCTATTGAAAAATTCAATAGGAAGTTATTTTGCTCCTCCACAATCTTACACTCCACACTGTTAACACTGAGGAAACACTGACTCGTGTTTGGTAAGCAATTTCAAGAAAGACACTATAGGTATTGGTTGAAGAGTTTAAAAATATATATTTTGAGTGAAAAAAAAGACATAAATCAGCAAATAAAATTGCAAACAATACTACTATATCACAGATAAGACAACATATAAAAGGAATGAATTCATTTAAATGACCTCATTAAAACTACATTTATAGATTTATATATAAAATATAACCTCGATAATTCGACCATGTTTTGTTGTCCTTACCTACAGCCTATCATATAAAAAACTGTAATTAGACACTCTCGATAATTCGACCATGTTTTGTTGTCCTGACCTACAGCCTATCATATAAAAATCTGTAATTCGACACTCTCGATAATTCAACCATGTTTTGTTGTCCTGACCTACAGCCTATCATATAAAAAACTGTAATTCAAGAGTTTAAAAATATATATTTTGAGTGAAAAAAAAAAAGACACAAATCAGCAAATAAAATTGCAAACAATACTACTATATCACAGATAAGACTACATATAAAAGGAATGAATTCATTTAAATGGCCTCATTAAAACTACATTTATAGTTTTATATATACAATATAACCTCGATAATTCGACCATGTTTTGTTGTCCTTACCTACAAACTGTAATTCAAGAGTTTAAAAATATATATTTTGAGTGGAAAAAAAAAAGACACAAATCAGCAAATAAAATTGCAAATAATACTACTATATCACAGATAAGACAACATATAAAAGGAATGAATTCATTTAAATGACCATATTAAAATTACATTTATAGTTTTATATATACAATATAACCTCGATAATTCGACCATGTTTTGTTGTCCTGACCTACAGCCTATCATATAACAAACTGTAATTCAACACTATCGATAATTCGACCTTTTTAAATTTCAACAATTGTTTGTTGCTCAAATATAACTTCACTGCTAAAAAGGTATTACAGAGAAAACTTCTGACATTGTAAATGTACAAAATGTATGTATAGAGCAGGGGAATAATAAATAAAGACCAAAATCAAATTAATTGATAATAAATAGATTATTGCCAAAAAAAAAATACAAAAAATATTTTTTTCTCCTTTCTTATCTTCACTCAATCATATTAGAGTG